CGCAGCAAGCGCCAGGAGTGACATCGCGGTGAGTTCCGCCGCATCGAGCACATCGGGGTCGAGGCCGTCCCCGATGAACCCACGGCCCCTGTTACACCGGCGGGAGGACGGAAGAAGGTGTGCGCAGCCATCGCTGCACCACGACAATTGCCTGGAATTTCGCGTACTCGACTCCGAGCTGCTGGTGCATATGTTGTACCTCGATGGTTTTGGTATTGCCCAGTATTAACTTTGCCACTGGAGGATATGGCTGCGAAGCTTATGAGTTCTACTCTTCGGACAAAGTGCCTTTGGTGGTGTCGTGGACGCTTCTGGTCCCTTCATATCCAGTACCACCCAGTGCTTTCGAATGTACTTACGGCCGTGCGCCGACTGACGGACTGGGCGTTGGACTACAACCCCTGGGTCGAGCATAACCTGCAGACCTTCTCCGAGGCGATCGGATTGGTTTTCGTGCAGTATGAAGCGGAGAGGGGTCTCAGATTCCAGCTGGACCCTGAGGAGTCGGACCCGCGTATGAAGCGCATCTTTCAGGGCCGTCAGGGCTACTGGAGTTCGGAAGGTGAACGAGCATGTCATGCCCTACGTGCTGTTTGTCGGCTACGGGCTCTTACGGCTGCGGCTCCGAGCCGCAGAGATTTCCCAGGCATGAGTGACGTTGATGTCGAAGCCCTTCCGGGCAACGGTTGGAGGCGTTTTCGTGATGGTCTTTCCCCAGCCGAGTGGCAGAAAGTTTTCATATACATGTCGGGGGGACCAGCTCTCACACCCGTGGTAGTTCGCATGGCTTTCATTGTGATCCGTATTGTCCGTGCTGCGGAGGCCCTCATTGGCCGTCAGTCCGCCGTTGTGCGGCGGAGTGTGCTGCTTTCGCAGATCTCTGAAGACAGCTCAGTACCTTCTATGGTGTGTCGGAGTCTTGGCGGACCAGTCAGCCGAGAGCGACCTCGAGTTCTGCATGGAATACCTTGTCTGCACATCGAGTTGCCGGGCGAAGATCCGAGCTCATGGCGATGCAAGTCCGCCTGGGCTTGTATGTATCTACTGGACTTGGAATGCGGAGTCATAGGAAGACTTGTGTTGTAGGTGGGCTTGCGGCTTGAGCAAACAACTACTGCTGTGAGCTGTGCATGAATGCTGTCTCTGACACCTGATCTGGATCTTGCTTTGATGTTCAAGGTTAGCTTCCTGTGCTTCCTCATCATGATATTCATAGATATTTCTGGTGAATGGAAGTTGCTACTACGAATACCTGGTATTTTTGATGTTTATCCAGGTTCTAACTCCAGCTCGGTTGCTCCTGAAGTACACCTAGCCCTGCGCACGCGACCATGGTGTATACAGGCGCTGTTGGGCAGATCGCCATCTGCATGCTGCTCCTAGTTGGTTCCTGTCACCCTGGGCATCCCTGAACGCCGCCAGCGCGGAACGTGACCTTTTTTGGGGGGGGGGGCGGTGGCGGCTGCTATCCCAGAACATTACAAAAACGGCTCCCGTGGTGCCGGAACCACACGGCGGGGGGGGGTGGGCGTTGCGTTATACCCCCCCCGCCCGTCCCCCACCTATACCGCCCATTATTGCCGAATCTAAAGAAACGCGCTCGTGTGAGGGAGAGAGAGGAGGAGGGAAAGGAGGAAACAGGAAGTGGAGGAGGAGGAGGAAATGGAGCAGGAGGAGGAGGACGAGGAGTGGGAGGAGAAGGAGGAGGAGGAGGAGGAGGAGGAGGAGGAGGAGGAGGAGGAGGAGCAGCAGCAGCAGCAGCAGCAGCAGCAGGAGAAAGAGGAGGAGGAGGAGAACGTACGTGAGAGGATGAGGATGAGGAGGAGGAGGAGGAGGAAGAGAAGGTAGTGAGACGAAGAAGAAGAGGATTTATAATACTAAGAGGAGGAAAAGAACACTGAACATTACAGTAAGGGGAAGGAGGAGGAGGCGGAGCAGGAGAGGCCGGGGGATTGTGGAGCCCCTCGTTGTTTTCATACGTTTTTTTTTATATATAAAAAAGCGAAACGTTTTTTCACCTTTGCACTTTGATTGTTGTTTGCCATTTTTCCTTTCGCCGTGAGCCCCTCATACTAATCGTTTCTCGTTATATCGTGCTCTCGTGTTCTCTCTCTCTCTCTTTCTTTCTTTCTCTCTCTCTCTCTCTCTCTTTCTATCTCCTGCACCAGGCCAATGCATGCCGATGCGATACAAATCCATTCCCAACTATCACCAATGCCAATGCAATGCCACTTGGGGAATCCTTTCGCTCGGTGAATTTCAGTAATAATACTTTGTGGACGATCTCATTACGAATCCTTCTTCGGAGGCTATCAATAGCAATGCTTATGCGTAGGGTCCCGATAGGGATGCTCATGTGGAGGGTTTCACTAGGAATCCTTCATGTGGGAGGATTCGATCGGAACCGTTCTTGTGGAGGGTTTCAGTAGGAGTGCGCTTGCGGAGGGAGCCATTCGGACTCGCCAGCGCAACGCCAACGCAATGCCAAAGCTTTGCCATCGCAATGCCAAGGCGATACCATTTCAATGCCAATGCAATGCCCATGGGGGGTATCCTTTGTGGTCGATTCCAACAGGAATCCTACCTGTGGAGGGTTTCGATTGTAATCCTTCCGTGGGGGGTTTCAGTATGTGGGGAGCTTTCAAAAGGATCCCTTCTTGTGGAAGGTACGGGATCCTTCTGTGGTGGGAGCCATTCGAACTCGCCAGCGCAATGCCGAACCAGTGCCAACATAATGCCAATTGGGGGAATTGCTTGTGGCAGATTTAGATAGCAATTCTTCTAAGAACTCTTTTTTGGGGGATTTCAATAATAAGCCTTCTATGGAGGGTTTCGCATGGAACCCTTCCGTTGAGGATTTCAATTTGGATCCTTCTTGTGGTTCAATAAGCATCCGTTTTGTGGGGGTGTTCACTAGGAATCCTTTTGTGAAGTGTTTGAGTGGGACTCGCCAGCGCAATGTCACGCAATGCCAACGCACGGCTCACGCACTGCCATCGCAATGTTAACGCAATGCCGCTGCGATGCCAAACCGTTGCCAAACCAATGCCGATGCAATGCCGGTGGCGGGGTTCCTGTCTTCCAACAGATTTCACTAGGAACCCTTATGTGGATGATTTGGTTACGAATCCTTCTTCGGAGGATTTCGATTGGGATCATCCCGTGGAGGGTTTCGATTGGAATCTTGTTGTGGGGGGTTTCATTTTGAATCCTTCATGTGGGGGCTTTCAAAAGGATTCCTTCTTGCGCAAGGTTTTCATAGGCATCCTCATGTGGGGTGAACCATTAGAACTCGCCAGCGCAATGCCAACGCAATACCAACGCAATGCCAAGCCAATGCCAAAGCGATCCCAATCCAATGCCAATGCAATGCCGATGGGGGAAATCGTTTTTGGTCGGGTTCAAGAAGAATTTGTTTTATGGATGGCTTCGAATGGAATCCTTCCGTGAGGGAGTTCAATGTGAACCCTCCTTGCTTGTGGGATGCTTCAATCGGAGTCCTTCTTGTGGGGGTTCAACAGGAGCCATTATGCCAAGGGAGGTGTTGGAACTCGCCAGCGTAATGCCAACGCAGTGCCAACGCAATGCCACACCAATGCCAACGCGATCCCAACCCAATGCCAATGCACTGCCACTGGGGGAAATCCTTTGTGGTAGATTGCAATCGGAATCCTTATGTAGCGGGTTTCGCGTGGAATCTTTCTGCGGGGGGTGTCAATCGGAGTCCTTCTTGTAGAAGGTTTCGATCGGAGTCCTTCTGTGGAGGGTCCCGTTAGGACTCGCCAGCGCAATGCTTGCGAAATGCAAGCACACTGGCAACGCACTGCCACGCGCAATGCCAACGCAAAGCCAATGCGATGCCAGACCATTGCCAAACCAATGCCAACGCAATGCCAATCCAATGCCAATGCGATGCCAATGGGGGAAATAATGTGTGGTCGGGTTCCAGAAGAATCCTTCTATGGAGGGTTTCGGATGGAATCCTTCCGTGAGGGAATTCAATGTGAACCGTTTTGTGGGATGCTTCAATCGGAGTCTTTCTTGTGTGGGGGGGCAACAGGAATCATTCTGCGAAGGGAGGTGTTGGAACTGGCCAGCGCAACGTCTACGCAGTGCCAGTGCAATGCCACACCAATGCCAAAGCGACCCCAACCCAATGCCAATGCACTGCCAATGGAGGAAATCCTTTGTGGTAGATTTCAATAGGAATCTTTTTGTAGAGGGTTTCGCATGGAATCCTTCTGTTGAGGGTGTCAATATGAACCGTTTTTGTGGAGGGGTTCAATAGGAGTCCTTCTTTTAGAAGGTTTCGATCGGAGTCCTTCTGTGGAGGGTTCCATTAGGATTCGCCATCGCAATGCTTGCGACATACGAGCACACTAGCAACGCACTGCCAAGCGCAATGCCAACGCAAAGCCAATGCGATGCCAAACCATTGCCAAACCAGGAATGCCAACGGGGGGGTCTTTCTTTCGAAGCATCTCAATATCAATCCTTCTGCTGGTGATTTCAATAGGAATCAAGATGTTGAGGATTTCAGTAGGAATCATTCAGTGGAGGGTTTCGATAGGAACCCTTATGAAAAGGATTGCACTCTGAATCCTTCTTGTGGAGGCGTTCAATAGGAATCCTTCTAGGGGGAGGGCAGATGAGGCCACGACGCGTTCCTTCCCCCCCCCAGACCGTTTTTTTTGTTCTGTGGGGGAGGAGGGAAGAGGGAAAAACAAAGATGAGGAGGAGGAGGAGGAGGAGGAGGAGGAGGACGGGGAGGGTCTTTGAGAGGAGGACGCCACAGAGTACGCACACCACTGAAAGGCGCACGTGCGAACTCAGTGCGAAAGTCTCGCGCGCGCGCCCTGGAACCCCGAGGGGCTCCACAATCCCCCGTTCTCGAGGAGGAGGGGGAGGAGGATTCCTTCCCCCTCGCCCTGTTTTTCCCCGTTGGGGCAAGCGCGGGAGGGCGGGGCACTCTCTTGTCCTGCGGACGCGCGGCCATCGAGGCAGAACCACCTGGACCCCGAGTGCGCCAGGAAGCTCGAGGAGCAGCTTCGTGCCATCGAAGGCGTCACGGGCGTCGTGCGCACCGCCAAAGGGACCTCCCGCGAACCCCGTCCAACCCCACTCTGTTGCGCGGGCTCTGCGTGCGCTTTCGCTCGGAGCTCGATTGTATACGTACTCATCCTCTGCCATTGCGACGGCCATCACCACCAAGATAGAACAACGTCAGCGGATCTCCTGTTTTGTTTTGCTCAAGTGTTCCACGCCTGTCCGCTTTGGCGTGCTGCTTGACCTTCTAGTCTTTCACTCCCGTTTTGTGTTATATATATATATATATATATATATATATATATATATATGTGTGTCCGGGGTACCGGGGGCCAGGGCCCCGGGCCGGGACACCCTCCCGAATTTCCCCCCCCCCCCCCCCGTAACCCACTTTGCCCCCGAGCGTCCGGAGGCTCTTTTGCGCCCCCGGAGGCGTCCACCACTGCTTCCGGGGACGGCAAGAAGCCGCCAAGACGGCCCAAGAGCGCTCCAAGACTCTCAAGATAGCCCCATCAAGGCCCAAGAGGCCCCCAAGAAGCCCCAGGGGCGCTCCGAGAGGCTTTCCAAGAGAGCCCCAAGAGGTTAAAATCATAGATTTTCATTGTGTTTTTCAATGTTTTTTGCTTGCCCGCGTTTTCGGGCTCTGACCTTCCAAGATTGCCGAGGAAGCCTCGAACATCGCCCCAAGACGGCCCAAAAGGCCCCCGAGAGGCCCCCAAGACAGCCCAAGAGGGCGCCCAAACGGTCCAAGAGGCGCCCAAGACGGCCCAAGAGGGCTTCAAGACGGCCCCAAGAGGTGCCAAAGAGGGGGAACACGAACCGACAATGAAGATTTCCGCCCCAATAGGCCCCCAAGAGGCACCAAGAGGCTTAAAAATGCCTCCATCAGAGACCCCAAAGAGGCCCCAAGATGCCCCAAAACGGCCCAAAAGGGTCGGGGCTCACCGAACCCCCCGAGACGGCCCCAGAGGCCTCGAAGCCGGCCCAGGAGGCCCAACCAGACGGCCTCAGGGAGGCCCAAGAGGGCCCCGTTCGAAATCATGTTCCCGGAAGCCTCTCCCGGAACATGATTTTTGGGTTCCGAGGACGCCCTAGAGGGCCCCAGGACAGCCTCAGCGAGGCCCACCCAAGAGGGCCCGCGATGGCTTCAAGATGGCCGAAGGGGGCCCCAAGAGGGCCTTCAAGAGGGAAAAATCAGCCCGTCACCGTAGTAAAACGTATGGATTCGGCGCGAGACAATTGGCGACCGCAGCTGCCGTCCCTTCGTGCTGGGCGAGTGCGAACCTGGCGTTCAGTTTGGACGGGACGTGTCGGGTCTGTTGCCAATCGGGGCTGCGCCAGGTTAGGCCACCCCCAAGGTCAGGTTCGGGGATGGGTCGTAGCAACACGACGACGACGACGACGACGACGACGACGACGGCACGCCCCACAGGCTCCCCAAGACGCCCAAACCCATGCTCCCAGAAGGCCTTCTGGGACCCCGATTCATACGGCCTCCGCCCCATACACAACAATTGTCCTCGAAGGCCTTTCGGAATGCAGATTGGTATGCGTGGACTGTGGTCCACTACTTCAGTGGAGCAGTGAATTCGTCAAGGCCTGGGGCCTGCTAGAACCTGAGCGCGCGCGAAGCGCGCGCGATGGTTCTAGCACATATATGTCAATATGTGTGTATGTATACACATACATACATAATATATATATATATACATATATGTATAAATATGTATATATATATATATATATATGTATATTCTAGACGCTTCGCGTAACCCCACCAGCCCCTAGCGTGATCGGCGTTCGACTTAGCTTCGCGCGCCCGCGTACAAACAAAAACTAACCCCACCAGCGCATCCAGAAACGATGTCCAGGCGAGTTGTCCTGATCAGGCATGTGTGGGGCACGCGGGGGGAACCAGCGGATGATGATGCTGATGATGCTGATGCTGATGATGATGATGATGATGAGGAGGAGGAGGAGGAGGAGGAGGAGAAGGAGGAGGAGAAGGAGGAGGAGAAGGCGGAGGGGAATGCAGGACGAGGGAGGAGGGCGGAGGGAGGAGGAGGAGAAGGAGGAGGAGAAGGAGGAGGAGGAGGATAAGGCGGATGAGGAAGAGGAGGGGGAGGAAGAAGATGATGATGATGATGATGAGGAGGAGGAGGAGGAGGAGGAGGATGGCGAGCAGAAAGGCCAGAGGCCTTTTGGATGCCTCTCGGAATTTCTTCGGATGTCTATTGAGAGCTTCTTGTAGGCATCTTGGGGTCTCTTGGGAATCCCGTGGCTGTCCCGGGAGCCTCTTGAAGCGGCTTGGATGCCTTCTGGAAGCCTCTTTGGGCTTCTTCGGGGCGTCTTGGGGGAGCCTCTTCGGGCCTCTTGGAGGCATCTTGGGGGCCTCTTGGGGGCCTCTTGGGGCCTCCTGGGTGCCACTTGTGGCGCCCTTGGGATCCTCGGGGCCATCGTGGTGCCATCTTGGAGGAGATCGATCAAAGGAGGGCCCGTACGTTGTAAGTTAGACCCCCTCCCGGGAGGCAACATGTAGCCAAAACGTTAGTACCATTAATGGTTTTGGCCTTCTCGCCGAGCCCTCTTGGGGCGTCTTGGGTGCCTGGGGGGCCTCTCGAGACCTCTCCGGGGTCTGTTGGGAGCCTCCCGGGGCATCTTGGGGGCCTGGCTCTTGGGGCCTCCTGGGCACCTCTGGGGCCCATCTTGGGGCACCCCTGGGAGCGTCGGGGGCCAGCTTCGGGCCATCTTGGAATAGATCGATCAAAGGAGGGAACTTAATTAGGGTCCCCCCCCCGCAGGAGGCCCGGATGTGGCCAACACGTTAGTAAACTCAGTGATATCGGCCTGCTCGCCGAGGCCTCTTACGGGGTGCCTTGGGCGGGGGGCCTCTCAGGAGCCTCGTCGGGGTCTTTCGGGAGCCTCCTAGGGACATCTTGCGGGCCTCGTGGGGGCCTCTTGAGGCCACCTGGGCACCTCTTGGTACCCCGTCTTGGGGACCCTTGGGAGCCTCGGGGTCATCTGGAGGCCATCGTGGAAGAGATCGACCAAAGGGTGGAAGCTCCTCAATTAGCCCCCCCCGGGGAGGCCCAGCTGTGGTCAACACCTTAGTCAAATCAATGGTTTTGCCCTCTCGCCAAGGCTGTTTTGGATGCCGCCCGTCCAGACCCAAGGGTAGGGGGTATGGGGGGTGCCCAAAAGTGCGCGCGACAAGTTCAGCTATTCGCGAAAATGGGAACTTCAACCCAGTTTGGCAGATGAAGTCCTCCACAGCAGCCACCAAGAAGGCTTGGAAGCGGCCCCAAGGCTGTGAGGTGCATGCCAATGTTGTCAACCTGCCTTCCAGTACGCCACGCCACAGGCTCGACCTTAATCGGGAAACGCTGAGGTTGCCGAAGTCCGTACTAGCACAGTACGTATCACACAAATAACGGTGGAATGACAATTACTGCAACGAGGACGTCGCCATCAATCTGAAGCAAACAGGTACAGAGCCAAGGGATGCTGGCAAGTTTTTCATCTAGGATGGCGTTTTTTGACCAGAGGCGCCATCGGGCCAAGGTGATGTGAAGACCACGCATACGTTTCGATTACAATGAGCACAGTTCAGCCCAGCAAGAAGACATGCTCCTTGATCGGCCAAAGGGTTTTGACTCCTAGAAAACTCTGGTGGTCAGCATCCCAGACAGAGTGGAGTGTCGCAACAGCCATCTTTTTGACATTTGCAAGTCGATGACATCATGCCTTCTAAGATGTGTTTCCGACCTTGCCCTGGACTGCACGAGCAATCCTCAGAGGTGCAATGACCGTGACCGCGAAGCTGTATAATCATTTTATGACGGGCTGGTGCGCGTCAGGGGACAGGCTTTTGTGTTTCTGCTAATTACCTCTTTTATTATTGTCATTCCTCGTTTTCCCCATTCTGCTATTGATCTCGCATGCACGTCGCCGGCGTATAGGATCATAAACGTACACAGCGGCAGCCAGATCCGCATTTGCGTTGACGTGAGCGACCAGACCCCGAAAGACATGGCGGCCAAAGAGATCGATTTCAGTGTTCAGCAGGAGCTGAGCTACCAGGAACGCAGCGCAGGAGGATGGTGGGAGGGGGAGGGGAGGAGGGGTATGATGATAACATGCGACCGCATCTGAGCATAATTGAAGAAGGGAGGCGGCTGGCCTGGCGAGAGCTGGATGCATATGTGGCCGCAGCATGTACTTCTAGCGCCTGGCCCTTCTGTGGCTGGGCACGCCGGCCCTTTGCATGTATACCCAGCGTGCGGTCTCCACATGTTCCACACATGAATCCAGCCACACGTGCTTCCAGCCTTCTGTAGAGCTCGGGCCGTCGTCGTCGTCGTCGTCGCCCCGCGGCCCGGCAGACCCTGCCTCCTCTGTCGGCAGAGTCATTGGTACGCTGGGTTTGCCCGATTTCTTGTTGTCTAGAGGTGGCTCGAGGCCGATGCCCGTGCAAGCAGAAACACATTTTGGTCCTGCGCGTGTTTGTTCCGCGCAGGCGGGCGAGTGCGTCGCTGCTGGCTGGTTGGCGCAATATTCGTGGTTCCTCCACGGCCCGTCCCCCCCCCCCCCCCCCCTCCAGCTCCTCCTCCGCGCGTTGCCACTCTGCTCAACCCCAGCTCATTGTACCCTATGGGCCGGTACTAGACACGAACCCCTTGCACTTGCGTGTATTACCCGCTGTCCAGGATAAATTGTTAGAGCTCAGTGTTGATTTCTCGGATCGGCGCTGGACCCCCCTGGCGGCGTCTCTGGCACCGCCCTGGCGCGCTCCGCGCGCCAGGGATGGTCCCAGTGCAGGTCGAAGAGGTCCGCACGGCACTCCGAAAGTTTATGCGTGTTCCTACTGTCGGTCCTCTAGCGGATCTCTCTTCCACGTGCGTGTCTCATCTCCTGGACTGGCACCACCATGGCACACCCTCCGCGCTCCGCGCTGTGGTCTGCGCGGGCGCGCTCGGGGCCTCCGCGGTTGCGCTGTCGACCTCCAGGGGTGCCCCGCGGGTGGCGGATCTCGAGAGGTGTCGGCGATGGACGTTCGATCCACACCCATGTTGCTGCCCCCCACTCTGGGCGCCAGGAGGAGCAGGGCATGGATACGAAGCTCGGCGCCTGGGGCAAGATTCTTGTCCATGCCCCCACTCTGGCTCTATGGAGGACGACACGCCATGAACCTCGAGTCCGAGGCCGTGCCGCCGGAGGCCAAGGATTACTACCACCTCCTGGTCTCTCGGTTCCACTACTGGGCGAAGCTGCGCAAGCTGGGCCTCCGCCCGCCGAGCCGACTGGACGGGGCGCCGCGCGTCCACGTGACGGAGTTGTTTTTGTCTGCCCGGCAGGCGAACGCGGGGGAGAAGCTGTTAGCTGGTGTCCTTCACGTCCTCCCAGAGTTTGGGGAAGCTGACCAACTTTCGCCCCCTCGCGCGTGGAGAGCAGTGAAGGGCTGGCGACGGCTATGCCCTGGTCGGAGCCGACGCCCGATGCCGCTGCCGCTGCGCGTGCGGGCTGTTGTCTGCCACTGGATGATCGAGCCGCGAGGCGGGGGGGGCGCTGCTCAGCTTCACGCGCTACCTGAGGCCGTCCGAGCTGCTCAGCGTGAGGTGCGGCCATTTCGTGGCGCCGATCGGGCCAGTCTCTCGTCGCTAGAGCCTGCTGCGGGCGCCAGAGGAGCTGGGTGCCCCCATCAAGGTCGGCGCGATGGACGACAGCATCCAGCTGGCCGTGGAGTCGCTCAAGTGGCCCGGCGTGGTCTGGAGGGAGATCAATTCGAGGCCGGCCACGGGGCGAGCTTTCCCTGTCTCGTTGTCAAGACCTGCTAGCGGACGCGCAGGCCGCAGGCGTGACGCTCGGACTGAGATCCGTACCCCGCCAGCTTCGCCACGGCGGAGCGTCGCACGACAGGCCCCAGAACATTCGCTGCCTGCCAGAGGTGTTTCAAAGAGGCCGGTGGCGAAAACTGAAGACAGTTGCTCGGCGCGAGAAGCATGCGCGAGTCGGATTGGACTTCTGGAAACTAGGCGCCCTGACCAAAAGCCATTGCGCTCGCTGCGAGTCGCGGCTGGCGGATGCGTTCCTGGGCAGGCGTGCCCCTCTGGCCTTCGGTCGCCAGCATGCGTGAAGAAGTCGCGCGTTGTAGATTGCTTTTCGGGCTGCGGGGTGGTGAGCAAGAAAATTCGCCTGACCGGTTTTTGCGCCCGCGAATGGAACTTCCTCCATGGGCGCTCGTGGTGCCTATGTGATCCCAGGGCCCGTGGGCCAGCCCATCGAGCAGGATCTCGGTGGAGGCCGCTGCGACAGATCAATGCTCGCCACCCCCCTGCAACTCCTGGTCAGCCGCGCGAGATCGGACGCATCCGATTCGCTCTTGTCGATATGTTAGGGGGGCCCGGGTCTGAGAGACAGCGATCTGGCCAAGGTCGCCATCGGGAACGCCACGCTGGACGCAGCTCTTGACCTGGCCAAAGCTGCTCAGGCAGCCGGGGTCCCCTGGATTCTCGAGAATCCGCGCGCGTCTAAGATGTGGTGCGATCGTGCGCTTAGGTCCCTAGCTGTTCCTGTTGTTTCGGATTTCTGTCAATGGGCAAAGCCTTGGCGGAAAGGGATTCGTTTTTTGGTCGGCAGCGTTTGTCCACAGGGCCCTTCTAAACTCAACAGGGTTTGCTCTGGGCGCGAAGTCTGCAGCCGCTCGGGTCGTCCCCGCCAGTATTTTTGAAAGAGCCGGGCCAGGGGGTGCGCGGTGGACTCTCCTCGCGATGCCCTATCCTGCGCTTATTGCTGACGTGCTGGTTTCCATCTTCGCTTCTAAAGCCCGCAGTGAATAGAACATCAGATAGCTTCACTCGACCTTCGGTTCGGCAGGTTTGGCGTGTTTTAGTTGCAGAATCTTCTCGGTTCGCTCACTGTTTTCTTTCGGGGTTCTTGCGCCCCTCGTCCGACCGTTCTCAAACGAAGCGGCCGTGGAACAATGTGGAGCGTTGGTACAACGAATCATCAGCAAGGTACGGCCCAGGTCGTCCTTCCTGGGTGCGCGTGCGCGTGAATGTGGGGGGGGCTGGACCGCAGCCGCGCGGCTCAAGCCTCTCTTCGCCTCCCTCCGCCAGCCCAAAACCTCGGTTCCAGAGGGATGGTTTTAGTTGCAGAATCTTCTCAGGTCGCTCACTGTCTTCTTTTTCGGGGCTCTGGTGCCCCTCGCCCGCCCGCTCCCAGACGAAGCGGCCGTGGCACATGATGGAGCGACGACAAAACGAATCATCAGCAAGGTAAGGCCCATGTAGTCCCCCTGATCATGATGATGGTGATGATGCTGCTGATGATGATGATGATGGTGATGATGATGATGATGGCGGTGCTGGTGCTGATGCTGATTCTGGTGCTGATACTGATGCTGCTGGTGATGATGGCGATGTTGGTGTCAATGATGGCGATGACGGTGACGATATTAAACCGGTTGATGATGATGGTGGTGATGGTGGTGATGATGATGATTGTAAAGGCGACGATGATGATATTGATGACGGTGATGATGGTGATGCTGATGTTGATGATGGTGATGGTGGTGGTGGTGATGCGGAGGAGGAGGAGGAGCAGGAGCAGGAGGAGGAGGAGGAGCAGGAGGAAGAGGAGGAAGAACAGGAGGAGGAGGAGCAGGAGCAGGAAGAAGGAGAGGAGGAGGAGGAGGAGGAGGAGGAGGAGGAGGAGGAGAAGGAGGGGGGATAACAAGGGTGGGAGAAGAGGACATGCTGGACATTCTGGACAATTGAGGGCTCGTGGGCAGCCACGTGATAGAAACCACACAACATGTGCAAGCACTATGCAAGCACACATATGGATGACAACAGGAAGAAGCGGACGAGGGACCCCATCACCTCGTCACGCCGTCCACACCACGCCCTGCAACACAGCAGAGCAGGGCATGGGCACGGAGTGCACGCACCTGATCTTCTCCCACGAGCTGAGGAGGAGGAAAAGGAGGAGGAGGAGGAGGAGGAGGAGGAGGAGGAGGAGGAGGAGGAGGAGGAGCAGCAACAGCAGCAGAAGAGGAAAGGCCTCCTGCTGGCACGGCCTGTCGCACCGCTCGGCGGTCCTTCGCCTGTTCCCGGCGACGGGCGATAGCCTGCCGCAGCTTGGCGGTGAGGTCCACTCGGACGGGGGGGGAGGAGGAGGGGGATGAGTGGGGCGGGGAACCCAGGGATCCCCAGACGCCTCAAGAGTCCTCAACGTCCCTTCTTCAGCCCACGGATCCTCTTCCTCAGGCCACAAGAAGGCCGCCTCATGGGGTCCAGGGAGGGCACTGGGCCACGCGGATCCTGGGGACTAGACGGGGCGGGAGGGCGATCAAATTTGGTGTCCTTGGGCCCTCTTTGATTGAGACCTGCAACGTCGAGAGCGATCTCCTCGTCGCCCGGTGCTGCAGCAGCGTAGGGGACGAGCGCATGAAAAAACACGGTCAGACCGTCTGGTAGATCTGTATAGTCCAGCTCGTCACTATCAGATAAGCGATAAGCCTCCTCAACGTATTTGGACACAGCCCTCCCCATAGCAGCACAACGTTCCTGAGGGTACCTCTTTTGGGGAGCAGTCCCCCAGTTTGCCGTGGTCGGGTCAATACCAAGCAATGCAGTATGGGTCTTCTTTGGGTGATCACATCTGCCCCCTCTGCCCAGTCCCTTGATTTCCTCAACGATGGAGTCAAGACGGATACACAATAACGTCGTCGGAGCCTTACTGACCTGTCCGACACACACTGATCAAACGACACTTTCCTGGAGGGTGGGGCAGCACTTGGGGCATTAGATGTGGCGGACTGCCACGAGCTGGGGGATTTTTCCTCCCAGTGTGCCGTCTCCGGGTGTTCCTTCAAAACACACGCACCTACCTCGAGGCAAGTCAACATCAGCAAATGCTGGCTCAACAGGAGTTGGGTGCCGATCGAGAGGTGCATATGCTGACGACTGGTAACATCAGGACGATCCCACCGATGCTTAAGAGTACGGAGCGGAGCAGGGAGACGATAGCGATCGGCAACTCGGAGCTCCTGCCATCTCGCGGCAGACCAGGTTTCGCAC